CACTGTGTGTGTGAGTGTCACTGTGTGTGTGTGAGTGTCACCGTGTGTGAGTGAGTACGTGAGTGTCACTGTGTGTCACTGTGTGTGTGTGAGTGTCACTGTGTGTGTGAGTGTCACTGTGTGTGTGAGTGAGTACGTGAGTGTCACTGTGTGTTACTGTGTGAGTGTCACCGTGTGAGTGTCACTGTGTGTGTGAGTGTCACTGTGTGTCACCGTGTGCGAGTGAGTACGTGTCACTGTGTGTGTGAGTGTCACTGTGTGTTACTGTGTGTGTGTGAGTGTCACTGTGTGTGTGTGTGAGTGTCACCGTGTGTGAGTGAGTACGTGAGTGTCACTGTGTGTCACTGTGTGTGTGTGAGTGTCACTGTGTGTCACTGTGTGTGTGAGTGTCACTGTGTGTGTGTGAGTGTCACTGTGTGTGAGTGTCACCGTGTGTGAGTGAGTACGTCAGTGTCACTGTGTGTCACTGTGTGTGTGTGAGTGTCACCGTGTGAGTGTCACTGTGTGTGTGTGAGTGTCACTGTGTGAGTGTCACTGTGTGTGTGTGAGTGTCACTGTGTGTGTGTGAGTGTCACTGTGTGAGTGTCACTGTGTGTGTGTGAGTGTCACTGTGTGAGTGTCACTGTGTGTGTGTGAGTGTCACTGTGTGTCACTGTGTGTGTGTGAGTGTCACTGTGTGTGAGTGACTACGTGAGTGTCACTGTGTGTGAGTGACTACGTGAGTGTCACTGTGTGTCACTGTGTGTGTGTGAGTGTCACTGTGTGTGTGAGTGTCACTGTGTGAGTGTCACTGTGTGTGTGTGAGTGTCACTGTGTGTGTGTGAGTGTCACTGTGTGTGTGAGTGTCACTGTGTGTCACTGTGTGTGTGAGTGTCACTGTGTGTGTGAGTGACTACGTGAGTGTCACTGTGCGTGTGAGTGTCACTGTGTGAGTGTCACTGTGTGAGTGACTACGTGAGTGTCACTGTGTGTGAGTGACTACGTGAGTGTCACTGTGTGTGAGTGACTACGTGAGTGTCACTGTGTGTGAGTGACTACGTGAGTGTCACTGTGTGTGAGTGACTACACTACGTGAGTGTCACTGTGTGTGAGTGACTACGTGAGTGTCACTGTGTGTGAGTGACTACGTGAGTGTCACTGTGTGTGAGTGACTACGTGAGTGTCACTGTGTGTGAGTGACTACGTGAGTGTCACTGTGTGTGAGTGACTACGTGAGTGTCACTGTGTGTGAGTGACTACGTGAGTGTCACTGTGTGTGAGTGACTACGTGAGTGTCACTGTGTGTGAGTGACTACGTGAGTGTCACTGTGTGTGAGTGTGTGTGTGTGAGTGTCACCGTGTGTGAGTGAGTGTCACCGTGTGTGAGTGTCACTGTGTGTGTGAGTGTTACTGTGTGTGAGTGAGTACGTGAGTGTCACTGTGTGTCACTGTGTGTGTGTGAGTGTCACTGTGTGTGTGAGTGTCACTGTGTGTGTGAGTGAGTACGTGTCACTGTGTGTCACTGTGTGTGTGTGAGTGTCACTGTGTGTGTGAGTACGTGAGTGTCACTGTGTGTGAGTGTCACTGTGTCACTGTGTGTGTGAGTGTCACTGTGTGTGTGACTACGTGAGTGTCACTTTGTGTGTGAGTGACCAAGTGAGTGTCACTGTGTGTGTGAGTGTCACTGTGTGTGTGAGTGACTACGTGAGTGTCACTGTGTGTGTGAGTGTCACTGTGTGTGTGAGTGTCACTGTGTGTGTGAGTGACTACGTGAGTGTCACTGTGTGTGTGAGTGTCACTGTGTGTGTGAGTGTCACTGTGTATGTGTCACTGTGTGTGTGAGTGTCACTGTGTGTGTGAGTGACTACGTGAGTGTCACTGTGTGTGTGTGAGTGAGTGTCACTGTGTGTGTGTGAGTGAGTGTCACTGTGTGTGTGTGAGTAAGTGTCACTGTGTGAGTGTGTGTGTCACTGTGTCACTGTGTGTGTGAGTAAGTGAGTGTCACTGTGTGTCACTGTGTGTGTGAGTGTCACTGTGTGTGTGAGTGACTACGTGAGTGTCACTGTGCGTGTGAGTGTCACTGTGTGAGTGTCACTGTGTGAGTGACTACGTGAGTGTCACTGTGTGAGTGACTACGTGAGTGTCACTGTGTGTGTGTGTGAGTGTCACTGTGTGTGTGAGTGACTACGTGAGTGTCACTGTGTGTGTGAGTGAGTGTGTGAGCATGTCACTGTGTGCGTAAGTGTCACTGTATGTGAGCATGTCACTGTGTGTGTGTGTGAGTGTCACTGTGTGTGCGACTGTGTGAGTGTCACTGTGTGTGTGAGTGTCACTGTGTGTGTGAGTGTCACTGTGTGTGTGAGTGTCACTGTGTGTGTGAGTGTCACTGTGCGTGCGACTGTGTGAGTGTCACTGAGTGTGTGAGTGTCACTGTGTGTGTGAGTGAGTGTGTGAGCATGTCACTGTGTGTCACAGTGCGCGTGTGTACACGGTGTAATTAACATGTTACCGCTGCCCCACCAGAGCACCCCCTACACCTGTGTAGCCTCACAGGTGGCAGCTGCCCCGCACCCCCAACACCCCCACCCCGCGTGCTCAGCTGTGCGGGTGGCAGCTGGGGTCCCAACGGTGGGTGTCCAGGGCCCTCAGCTGCCCAGCTCCGTCACACGTGGACGAAGTCCCCCACCTCCCCCGTCGGTCTCCAAGGCCCCTCACCCACCCACTCCTGCCCTGCCGGGAGGTCCCCTCTGCTAAGAGATGTCAGGCAGAGGAAGCCTTATCGCCGAGATAAGTTGACGGGGCCACGTCGCCCGTGCGGCGGTGCGTCTCTCGTGAGGGCGTGGGGATGGATTTTAAGTCGCGTGCCGGCGGCGTCGCGTCTGCACGCCTTCACGCCTCAACGAAATCCCCAGATTACGTAGTTGGGGAAACCGCCACCTGGCAGACGTCGCCCCCCTTCTGTAGAACGCTCGGCAGGACCCTCCTGAAAAAGAGTCTCGAGTCTCGTTGAGCCCTTCCTGGGTGAACAAGCGTAACGGTAACGGACGTAACATCGTGTCTTCCCCCTCTCGCTCGGCAGCGACGTTTCGGACTCGCGGCCACGTAAGAGATGAGAGCCGACTGCTGCCGCGTTTGAGTCGCGTCTCTAAATTGCTCGGGGCCGCTTCCCCCGTGACGACGATGACGACGACGACGACGATGACAACGACGATGACGACGACGCAAGTGGTGCTCACCGGCAACTTGCCTAGGCGGCACTGCCCCAGTAGGGGTTTAACGTTTACCAACGCTTTGCCCCACCACAAGCCGTCTCTCGAATCAACCTGTGTTTGTCCGCTCCCATTCGTCAGCGATGGATAAACGGTTCCAATCCGGCCCAAGTTGCGACTGTCGGCTGAGATTCTACCCCCTGGGGGGGGGGGGGGGCTTCTGGGAATAACGCCACCACCGAAACGTTGTCCAGGGACACTCCCGTGCCGGCGTAATGGGCAGCAGCATGCTGGACCCACCACGCAGAGAGGGTCTCCGCTCACACGTGGTGGGGTAAAGTGTGGGATGCTCCTGCCTCATCCGCACGCGCTGCACAAACCACGTGGCACCGGCAACCCCATGCGCTGGCACGAGTCCCCGAGCCCCGCACTTGAGTTCCCCTCCCTGCTTACTTCCTCCTGCCCCCTCCCTCCTCCTGAGTGGCACCCGCGACGGGGAGGGAGGTAACGGCACGGGGGACGTCTCATGCGGGGCGCAGGTAAAGCGGACGCCCGAGTGTGCTCCAGGGAAGGCCTCTTCCACCGGCAGTGGTGTGAGCGACCCGTTGCACCTCCGATTAGCACGGTTGGCTACGTACGGTGCGAAAGAAGTTCAGCACACATACACATACGTACAGGGCTGTGCCTTTACCTTGGACCAGCGTCAAGCCGAGTTTCTCGCACTGCTCGCGTGGTTTGGGAACGACCGCCTGTCCTCCCCGTCGCTCAAAATGCCCGTGTGGCGATGGGCAAACTTAGCGGGACGAGCTGTCCGCGGTAGTTGGAGGGGGGGAGCTGCACAAAATTTGCACGGATTAGTCCACTAAAGCGATGGGCGTCACAGCCTTACTCTCACTTTGCCCCACCGCACGTGTCGTGCCGATCGAGATCTGGAGCAGAATGCCGGATGGACAAATACATAAAAAGTCGCCGATTACCTGTTCATCTCCTGTGCATAGCCCTGAGTCAGTAGAGGAAATTCCACATTCCTATGACGGGGTGATTCTATCCATTGGACAAACACTGTTGACTTCCACACAACGTGGTACTTTATTTTATCGACCTGAGAAGGATGATGGGCTGAGTCAACCCTCAAGCAGGATTTGACCTTCCGCTTGCCCTTCCCCTGAGCCACCTGGTCCATTGACAATTTCAGGTCACGTTGTTTTGTTTTGCACTCCACATGAGGTTAAAGTTTGAATGTGTCACGCGCCCGCGCCCCTAAGTTTTAGTATGCGTACACTTGAATAATGCTATTTAACAGTTGAGCATGTGTGGTATTGGTGCCGTCATTCCTTTAGCGCAGGGCAATGGTCACGAAGGGAGGAAGGTGCCGCTGTGTTTTGCAGGGACAGGCTGCAGTTACTTGACAGTGGCGAGCGATGTGCCTGCCGTGTAATCCAAATTGGGTAATCGCAGTCGGATTTTTCGAATTTGGCAAATTTGTATTGTGATGCCGACGGCATCCAGCGGCCTTCTCATTTCGAACGACACCACGGGGTCTTTGACGTCCACTGTGAAGTGGACGACGGCTCGTGGGAATTTAAAGGTTAACGCACACCGCAGTATTAACCAGGGCCGCATGCCGGAGCTGAACCGCGAGCCTCTGCACACTGGGTCACGCCCCCAACCCCGTGGCCGTGACCTTTAAACGAGGTCGTGCTCCGGGGTTGCACTCTGGGTGTGGAGCCTGTCTGCTTCTGCGCGGAGAGAGCTCCGGAGGGAGTGGGAGAGATCGTGGGCCTGACGTGCGTGTCCGTGCTACCGCTGCAGGAGTCTCTGAAGCCCACGCTCTTCACCATCACCAACTTCCCGGGTTCCTCGCCCGGGCCGCACCACTTCTCCAGCCCCAGCTACTCCCCACCCTCCTCCTCCACGGGCCCCCCAACCAGCATGGCGGGCGGCCACATGGTGGGCGGCGGACATTCCTGCAAGACGGCCCAGGGGGGCCACATGCAAACGCACGGCAACGTGTCCTCGTTCACCCTCATGTCAGGTGAGGGGGTCGCTCCGCACCCACCCTGACACCCAGCGCTGACAACAACGCGGCCCCCAACGCGGCCCCCAACGCGGCCCCCAACGCGGCCCCCAACGCGGCCCCCAACGCGGCCCCCAACGCGGCCCCCAACGCGGCCCCCAACGCGGCCCCCAACGCGGCCCCCAACTCGGCCCCCAACGCGGCCCCCAACGCGGCCCCCAACGCGGTCCCCAACGCGGCCCCCAACGCGGCCCCCAACGTGGCCCCCAACGCGGCCCCCAACGCGGCCCCCAACTCGGCCCCCAAGGCGGCCCCCAAGGCGGCCCCCAAGGCGGCCCCCAACGCGGCCCCCAACTCGGCCCCCAACTCGGCCCCCAACGCGGCCCCCAACGTAGTCCTCCGTGTCTCTGTCTCTGCATGTCTCTGTGTCTCAGTGTCTCTCCGTATCTCCATGCACCCCTGTGTCTCCATGTGTCTGCGGCTGCAGGAAACTCGCATGCGGGCGGCGCCCCACCCGGGGGTCACACGCAGACGCAGCAGATGCAGGGACACTCCCTCTCAGGTGGGATCACTCAAACCCCCCCTCACCCCACACCCCCCACCCGGCACGTGCCATGCTTCACCTAGGCCCAGGCTTTCATGCGTCGAGCTGAAATGGTCGAGGTGAGATGGTGGTGTGAGCGGACGGCTGCGGGCGAGCAGGCGGACGGGTCCAGGAGGGCGAGCGGGCGGATGGGTGCAGGCAAACGGGCAGAGTGCAACTTTGGCGACCCGCGACGTCGATTCCTGCATCCGGGTGGTTCCGTAGAGGATGGCCCTGCAGGACGTTGGCGACGCATAGTGGCGAATGTTCTGGGCGTCCCCCTAGGCTGATTCGACCTTAAATGAGTAGCTGGTGCAGTGTGTGAACATCAGCGTTGGGGAGACAATGGCGTCCAGGCGTGGTGATGGCCACCCACCCTATCGTGCACCGCCCTTGCCTTTATAGGTGATGCTCGCTAACAGCTCTTGCCCCAACAGTGTTAAGGCTATACGGGGGATCTTTGTCCCAGATACCCTTCAGCCCAGTCAAGTGCAGTCGACTCGGTAGGAAAACTAGGCGGGGTGCAGGGTCTGCCGCGATGGGAGGATTCACTTTGCCGATACTCCAAGAAAACGGTGGCCGCTGCTCATTGAGGAAGAGCGGTGCTGGCATCAGGTCGGGGTCGTGAATGAGTGAATGGAAGTGAGCAAGGTCAGTGGGTGTGAGCGAACGACCTCCCGGTCTCTCCACAATTGGGCCCACGGGTAGCCTGCGCCGCGGTGATGCCGTGCGTGCCGTGCCTGCCCAGGTGGGGTCGCCGTCTCGCAGCTGCTGCCCTCCACTGCCCACGGCCACGTGGCGTTGCCCCAGGGAGCGCAGCTGGTGGCGGCGTCAGAGGGCAGCGGCTGCCAATCGCTGGGCGGCAACGTGGCAGGTACGGGGGGGTGGGTGGTGGGGGGCTTACGGGGCAGTGGCCGTTCTCCCAGGTGTGACAGGGCGCCCGCCTGCCCGCCCACCCCCCCAGTCGAACCGCTTCCACGGCCAAGGGCCATTGGACGTTAGCAAACGACCTCGACTGCCCACTCGGCTGCGCCACGACCGCTCTTCGTCAATGGGCAGTCGGCGTTAACTTAGGCAATTGGCGAAGTGAGGCCGTCCGGCTGTGGAGAAGTTAGCGTTGATCGACTGTGGTCGTGAGTGGGGTGTGATGCTGGTGGCGGTGCTGGCGGTTGTTGTTGTTGTTGTTCTTGGCGGTTGTTGTTGTTGTTCTTGGCGGTTGTTGTTGTTGTTCTTGGCGGTTGTTGTTGTTCTTGGCGCGCTTCACGTGCCTCTTCCCGTGCGGGTGCAGTGCCCATCCCGGCCACGCTGGTGTCATCCAGCATGCCGGTGTCAGTGGCGGGGCACGTCATGTACCAGGCGCCGCACGGCATCATGTACGCGAGCTCCCCCTCGCTGGGCGGCGACGGCACCAGCCTCAGCGGGGGCCTCGCCGTGCACCTCAACGCCTTCCACGGGGGCCCGGCCTCCATGCAGCTCCACCACGGCCCTGGGCCCACGCCCGAGCAGGGTGGGTCCCCACGCCCGCGGGCCCCCGGTCTGCCCGCTCGACGCGTGGGCCGAGAGGAGGCGACGACCAATCGATTGCGGACGACTTCCGTTGGATCGCGGTCCCGGCTGGGTTTAGAGGACCGACCGCGCATTCAGAGTTGTGTCGCTGCGGGAAAATTTTAGTGAGGGCCGGGGCTTGATTTCATGGGCCTCTTGTCCGGGTTGGTGAACGAAAAAAATAGGTCTGAACCTGGCACACCACATCCAGTATACCTGTCGCGATGACAGGCGCTACTGCCAGTCATATGCCACCTACTCCAGTCTACCAGCAACCTGGAACATATTCCATGCCTCGGATTAGCACGGTTGGCTACGTACGGTGCAAAAGAAGTTTAGCATTCATATTCAATGAGAAATTAAGCCCTGGTGAGGACACTGAGTGGCATGTTGCCCATGGTGTGTCTGAAACGTGTGTATGCGCAGGGAGTGTCTGGGGAGTGGTAGTGTCGCGGTTTGTGTGCTACTCTATGAACTCGGTGACCAAAGTTCGTAGAGTTCGAGTCCCACTCATGGCCAACATCAGTGACAATTATTTTAACTGGTCCTAGGCCTCCCCTAGGTCGACTCAGCCTCGAATAAGTACCCGATCTTTGTGTGGTGCTGGCCACCCACCCCCATGTGTGCTGTGATGGCCTTTAGAGGTGATTACTTACAGCACTTCCCAAAAGTCTGTTAAAGCTATAGGGGAGATCCTTTGTCTTTGGTGTGTGTGTGAGAGACTTGTATGCGTGTGAGACTTGTATGCGTGTGGTTGTGTGTGTTCAGGTGGCCTCCAGCAGCTGATGTTCGCTGGTCCCAGCGGCCCTGTGCACATCCCTATGCAGCTCCAGCAGGTTGGGACTGCAATCCAGTGCTGTACTGTACTTCTATGCTCCATCTATTCTCACCACCTTCGCCAACCCCCACTGACGAGCACGGTCGCTTGAAACCCCCGTGACCCACAACGGCATGGGGAGGCCCTCGCTCATCCTGTGGTGGATTAACAGAAGTGGCCGAACGTGCGTATGTCAGGCACCGCTGCATGCTCACGTGGACGTGCAGTGTTTGTGCTGCTCTTACCACGCGAAGGCCATTGCGGAGGCGCTACGTTCAAACTCTACAGAGCAATCCCATCGTAAATAACCTACAGAATTCATCCACGCTGTGTTCAACCGACGGCACTGCTGATCACCTCACTTCTCTCTCTCTTTCCCACGCACTGTTCCACTTTGGAATGCCCTCCCTCATCCCACCGCCATCATCTCTTTTTCCAAGCTATTCTAATAATAATAACCTTGCTCAAGTCAAGGAACGAGTTGGCAGTTATCTCTTGCTAGATTAATAGTGCTGTGTGTTGCCGGCCACTTCATTTCTGGGCCTGTGCCGTTTGCAGCGACGGAAGAAAAGTAACTGGCTATAAGGTGCGGCGTCCGGAGTCGATTAGCAGGAGCGGCTAACTCCTGGGGTGCGCATGCGTGCGTGCGTCTGTCATCCCGGGCAGATGGCCGTGATCGGACCGACGATGAGCAGCGAGTCTCTGACGGAGCTGCACGTGGCTCGCGTGACGGAACACAAGCCCGCCGCCAATGGCAACTGAGCCCCCTGCCTCCTTGCCCACTCGCTCACACAACTCGCCGCCCCGACCTCCATTGACTGTGGACTGTGGCCTCCTCGCGCGCTGAAGAGGGTGGAGCTGAGCGGAGCAACACCGCGGCCCATGGGGCTCCGCGAGAGTTGGGCGGCTGGCCCAACCAGACCTTCTTTCCGTGCCATTTCACTGTATATATGTACATTGTGTTTTATTATTATTAATGCACCAAAGAATAATATATTTCCTATTTTTTGAAATGTAATGCAATACTTTGCGTTTGCGGGTGCTGAGCAGCAGCACTGAAGACACGCTGTGGCCTTGTTTGTAACATACACTGAAAACTCCACTATTTTATAAGCGTTTTTATGCAATTATTTACTGTAGCTTCCGACATTGAGAAAAGGGAGCCCGCAGAGCTTGCGTGAGGAGGTCTCGCCTTGAGGCCCCGCAGGCCCCGCAGGCCCCGCAGGCCAGACCTCCTCCGCAGGAGCCGCACTTTACTGGGCTCCCGCTGCCTTGTCAATGTACCTCGACACGTGGTCTCACTGCCTTAAGGAACCTGTACGTGTGGTCCGTAGCTGCCTTGTTGTTGATGTGTGTGGATCCTTGCTGACTTGTCGAGTCTCCACTTCGGGGGGGGGGGGGGGCTCTCACTGCTGCCTTACCAGTATTCTCCAGGGGAGGCTCTGCTGTATTTATGGACCTCAGCCATAGAGGCTTTTGTTGGCATGTGCTGAGGGGTTTTCACATGAATATCTTCCGTTGGGTGATAAGTTGTCCATGCTTGATGGGTCTCTACATGGAGGTCTTCCTTGTTGAATGGGTCTCCATGTGAAAGCTCTCCCTGGTTGATGAACCCTCACACGGATGTTCATGGGTCTCCATGTGAAAGCTCTCTCTGGTTGATGAACCCTCGCACGGATGTGCATGGGTCTCCATGTGAAAGCTCTCCCTGGTTGATGAACCCTCACACGGATGTGCATGGGTCTCCATGTGAAAGCTCTCCCTGGTTGATGAACCCTCACATGGATGTTCATGGGTCTCCATGTGAAAGCTCTCCCTGGTTGATGAACCCTCACATGGATGTTCATGGGTCTTCATGTGAAAGCTCTCCCTGGTTGATGAACCCTCACACGGATGTTAATGGGTCTTCATGTAAAAGCTCTCCCTGGTTGATGAACCCTCGCACGGATGTTCATGGGTCTTCATGTGAAAGCTCTCCCTGGTTGATGAACCCTCACACGGATGTTCATGGATCTCCATGTGAAAGCTCTCCCTGGTTGATGAACCCTCACACGGATGTTAATGGGTCTTCATGTGAAAGCTCTCCCAGGTTGATGAACCCTCGCACGGATGTTCATGGGTCTATGTGAAAGCTCTCCCTAGTTGATTAACCCTCGCACGGATGTTCATGGGTCTATGTGAAAGCTCTCCCTGGTTGATGAACCCTCACACGAATGTTCATGGGTCTTCATGTGAAAGCTCTCCCTGGTTGATGAACCCTCGCACGGATGTTCATGGGTCTTCATGTGAAAGCTCTCCCTGGTTGATGAACCCTCGCACGGATGTTCATGGGTCTTCATGTGAAAGCTCTCCCTGGTTGAACCCTTGCACGGATGTTCATGGATCTCGATGTGTGAAGCTCTCCCTGGTTGATGAACCCTCACACGGATGTTCATGGGTCTTCATGTGAAAGCTCTCCCTGGTTGATGAACCCTCACACGGATGTTCATGGGTCTCCATGTGAAAGCTCTCCCTGGTTGATGAACCCTCACACGGATGTTCATGGGTCTCCATGTGAAAGCTCTCTCTGGTTGATGAACCCTCGCACGGATGTGCATGGGTCTCCATGTGAAAGCTCTCCCTGGTTGATGAACCCTCACACGGATGTGCATGGGTCTCCATGTGAAAGCTCTCCCTGGTTGATGAACCCTCACATGGATGTTCATGGGTCTCCATGTGAAAGCTCTCCCTGGTTGATGAACCCTCACATGGATGTTCATGGGTCTTCATGTGAAAGCTCTCCCTGGTTGATGAACCCTCACACGGATGTTAATGGGTCTTCATGTAAAAGCTCTCCCTGGTTGATGAACCCTCGCACGGATGTTCATGGGTCTTCATGTGAAAGCTCTCCCTGGTTGATGAACCCTCACACGGATGTTCATGGATCTCCATGTGAAAGCTCTCCCTGGTTGATGAACCCTCACACGGATGTTAATGGGTCTTCATGTGAAAGCTCTCCCAGGTTGATGAACCCTCGCACGGATGTTCATGGGTCTATGTGAAAGCTCTCCCTAGTTGATTAACCCTCGCACGGATGTTCATGGGTCTATGTGAAAGCTCTCCCTGGTTGATGAACCCTCACACGAATGTTCATGGGTCTTCATGTGAAAGCTCTCCCTGGTTGATGAACCCTCGCACGGATGTTCATGGGTCTTCATGTGAAAGCTCTCCCTGGTTGATGAACCCTCGCACGGATGTTCATGGGTCTTCATGTGAAAGCTCTCCCTGGTTGAACCCTTGCACGGATGTTCATGGATCTCGATGTGTGAAGCTCTCCCTGGTTGATGAACCCTCACACGGATGTTCATGGGTCTTCATGTGAAAGCTCTCCCTGGTTGATGAACCCTCGCACGGATGTTCATGGGTCTCGATGTGTGAAGCTCTCCCTGGTTGATGAACCCTAACACGGATGTTCATGGGTCTTCATGTGAAAGCTGTCCCTGGTTGATGAACCCTCGCACGGATGTTCATGGGTCTCGATGTTTGAAGCTCTCTTGGTTGATGGAACCTCACAAGAATCTCCATGGGTCTCCATTCGAAAGCTTTCACGTTTGATGGGTCTCTCCGGGTGAAGGTTCTCCCTGGCTGATGGGCCTCCATGTGGAGGCTCGCACAGCCTGTGAAGGCCGGGCCAACGTGGACCGCTGACCCCACGACTCTTGTGTTAGTGCCCGTGCCCGGTGGCTGAATTTCAAACACTGTACATGTCACTGTACACTACTGTAAATAAATTCGTTCTGCACAAATCGCGTGGCCTTGGTGTCCCTTGAGATGGGTTGGGGTCGTGGTTGTCATCCCCACACAGCGCCTTGACCATCACAGTGCCATGACCATTCCTGATAGAAGTTAATATCTGACCGTGGAATACACCTAGGTTTACTAGGCCTGAAATGAGAACCTGGGTAATGAGGTGACCAGGCGAGAAGCCAGTACCAGAACCAACATATTCGAGACACGTTTGCCTCCATAGGAAGATGAATAAGCAGTGTCCCTTACCCAAATCTGTCCCTCGACGTAACGGTTCAACAAAATAACTGGACTGGTTTTGACATTCGGTGTCGCATCAGCACGGTCAGGCTTTGCTCGAATCTATGCTGGGAATTGCCACCTGTACGAGTCATAGTTCAATACAAAACTAAACAGTACATAGACATTACTGGTGTCGTGGGGAATATGTGACAAAATAAATAAGCAGACCATTCGCATCCTTCCCATGTCTTTCTCTCCACATTAAAAATACGAGTACATTTTCTTTTTTTTTACACATCCCATGGATCTGTTTAAACATTCGGCGTCTCGTCTTAATGGGTGCTCTCCAGCCAATCCCGTGCGCCAAGGCCGGACCGAGGGAGGCGAGACGGTGCCTGGATGTGCGTGTCACGGCGCCGTTACTCGGCCAAACATCCGTGGAGAGATGCAGGCAAAGCCGATGAGTCAGATGCCTTCTATGACCTGTCACAGGTGCTGGCTAAAGTGGCCCCTCGGGATAGTCATCTTGTTGGGTGACTTCAATGCCCGAGTTGGTCATGATGCTGGCACCTGGTCTGGAGTGATTGGAGGGCATGGGCCAGATCAGCTCAATAACAACGGTAGGAGGCTGCTAGATTTTTGTGCAGCCCATGGGCTTGTAATTACCAACACGTTGTTCCGGCATCGGCGCATCCACACAACATCATGGATGCATGCCGGGTCCAAGCAAGAACATCTGCTGGACTACATTGTGACGAACCAGTGGATGCGAGCCCATGTCCTTGACACCAGGACCTACCGTGGATCTGATCTGCCCTCTGACCATCGACAAGTCATCTGTAAGATGCACCTGCCATTGTTGGGTATACACCCAGGACCCTATTCCAACCTAAAGTGGCCTGGTCTCAGTTATCTGATGAAAGTTGCAAGCGAGAATTACATCATCGCGTGCGGCTGGGGTTGGCATCGTCCCCCACTCCTCCTGATGTCAAGGGTAAAAGGGCGAGGTTTAGGATTGTGACTCATGCAGCTGCAATGGCTGCTTTGGGCACGCGGTCCAGACCTCCCCAGAGACCCTGGCTGACAGAGGAGGTGTTCAGGATGGTTGAGAAAAAGCGACAGGCCCACTGTCATCGGCTACAGAATCCCACGTCAGAGAATGAGGAGGCTTACCGCAGCCTTCGCTCGGAGGTTCGGAGAACCGTGCGGCGCTGCAAGGATGGGTGGTGGTCGCGGGTTGCTGAGGAGATGGAGTCTGCCTCAGTGGCCCACGATCACAAATCTCTATTTAACTCCATCAAAAAAGTAACCTGCAGCGCCACACCTATTTCCATCATTAGGGGAAAAAACGGTTTGCAGATTTGCTGAGCATTTCTGTGAGGTCCTGGGGGAGGGGAAATCCCTCAGCCAGGAAAACATCGTGGCACAAAGTGGGGATGACCCTGCTGAGTTTGCAGTGCCTCAAATATTGGAAGAAGTCACCCCCTGTGAGTGGCTGGCTGAGGTGCCACCTGTTGAGGACGTACTGAGGGCGATCCGGAGTCTGAGATCAGGAAAGGCACCAGGTAGAGATGATCTCCCAAGCGAAATGCTGAGGGAGGGTGGCGTTTGTGCACAGACTGCCCTATATGACAGTCTGGACCACTGGACAGGTTCAGCAGGATTGGAAGGATGCCCTGGTGGTCGCCCTCTTTAAGAAGGGGGACCGCACAGACTGTAACAACTACAGGGGCATCTCACTCCTCAGTGTGCCGGGAAAGGTCCTGGCAAGGATTATTCAACATCGCCTTGCCAGGCAGGCTGAGGAGAGGCTTGCGGAGCCCCAATGTGGTTTGAGGAAAGGGCAGTCCTGCACAGATGCCATATTTTCTGTCCGTCTGCTACAGCAGAGGTGTAAGGAATTCCAACAAGACCTACATCTCTGTTTTATTGACCTGGTCAAGGCCTATGACACCATCAGTAGGCCTGGGCTCTGGGTTGTTCTTCGTGCTTTAGGAGTCCCTGACCCTCTGCTCACGATCATTAAGGACCTTCATGATGGTGAGCGGGCCCGGGTAAAACTAGGTGGCCGGGAGTCAGAGCCATTCCCTCTACACCTTGGGGTGCGACAGGGATGTCCTCTGGCTCCCACATTATTTAACATCTATTTTGACCACGTAGTTCGTGAAGCCTTCAATAGCTGTACCAGGGGAATCTCCATTTGGTACAGATATAATGGGAGGCTGATCGATGCCCGGGTGTGGTCAAGGGATGGCTCCCTATTGCTCAACCACGTTATGTATGCCGATGATTTGGTAATAACTGCTCATTCAGAGGAGGAGTTGGAGACGCTGCTGCTGAGACTGGAGCGTGCCACTAAGAGATGGGGCCTTACCATCAGCCCCACCAAAACTAAGCACCTGCCTGGGTATTTTGTACCATCGGACACTCCACCCCCACAACTCCCAATCGGTGATGGGACAGTTGTGAAGAGAGTGGAGAGTTTCCCATACCTGGGCAGTGTGCTTATGACCGGCTCCAGTTTAACAGCAGAGGTCTTACTCCGAATCAGTCAAGCGGCAATATCTTTTCATCGGTTGCGTAACGCTGTGTGGAAGCTACCTGGTCTGTCGCTCCGCACTAAGCTTCAGGTCTTCTCGGCCACAGTCATTCCCTCCCTTCTCTACGCTTGTGAAACGTGGACCCCTTAATGGAACATCTTCGCCGGTTAGAAACATTTAGGCTAGCCTGCCTACGATCCATCCTGGGTTTAACCAGGCTAGATTGTGTGAGGAGCTCACAAATCTTTGAAAGATCTGAGCAAGGTCCCATCGGTGAGCTCCTCCGGCAGGCAAGGCTGCGTTGGCTGGGTCATATAGCCCGCATGCCCAGCCACCGCATGCTTTTGTTCGGCCGGATCGAGGGGGATAAACGGGCGCGGCACGGGCTGGAGAAGAGATGGAGTGATGTGGTACAGGAGGACGTGGAGCTGAGTGGACTTGCCGATGACTGGTACCAGCGGTGTCAAGATCGGCCTCTGTGGAGGAGGCTCGTGAAGGACCCTACTGGGCAGTTGGAGGCAGTCGCCCTCCAACAACAACGGAGGGCGGAGGAGCGACGCTCACAACAACGAGCAGAGCGCCGGGTGGCTAAAGCACAGCAGATTGGCACAGTAGGGGGCACAGGTGGTGCATCAGCCAGTCATCTCAGTCATCTTAGTCGACCCGTGGCACCTGGGTCTGCCCCGTAACCTCCTGTCAGCGGGCGTTCGACACTTCACGTGGTCTCAAGGTGCACATGGCCTGGCACAAGCGTCGCGGTGACGTCACCGCCACTTAGTGGCGAATGGCGGTTGTTGTTGTCACTCGGCCAGTGATCGCGTCTCGCCTCGTGGCTCTCGGAGCCCAAGGGGCCGTTCATAAATGACGTCACGCGATTTTGGACGATTTTTGACCCCCCACCTCGTCACACAGCGTCACAAAAAGTAAGACTCCCCCTCAGATATGACGTCACAAAGCTCTGCCCCCCCCCAAAAAAAAACATATTTCCATTTTGAAAAGAAAACATGCGTCAAATCGCTTTAAACTATTGTCATTTTAGTGCGTATTTAATGTGGCGCTTCACTCTGATGTTGTATGAGTATTATAACAATTAGTGTTGTTGTAACAATTCTATATTTATTTAAAGTTGCGCATTTTTACGTGACGTCACATTTCTCACCCCCCCCCCCTCGTCATACATCGTCACAAATGTCTGACACCCCCCCCCCCAGGTGCGTGACGTCATTTATGGACGGCCCCCAACGGTCACAAACGTTCCCACCGCGTGTGGCCCGAGTTGACGTAGGGGGGCTTTCGGGCTTCCTGCATGAGAGACAGATAAACGAGACGTGTGATGTCCCCGTAGGTAGAGACTGGGGCACCACGAGGTGCCTGTTGTCTGTGTCGACAACGTGGCTTCTGGGGCAGATCAGGGAGACACGAACCTCGATACGTTCTCGAGACTATGGGTCGGTTCATTAAGGACTGCAGTGCAGATCTTGAAATAAAAAAAAATGGCTCTTGTTGCTTTGGTTACCTACCCCTAACCATGTGTGTCCAGTTTACCATGGAAGTCCAGTTTACCATGGGAGTCCAGTTCACCATGGAAGTCAGGTTTACCATGCGAGTCCAGTTTACCATGGGAGTCCAGTCTACCATGGGAGTCCAGTTTACCATGGGAGTCTAGTTTACCATGCGGGTCCAGTTTACCATGGGACTCCAGTTTACCATGCGGGTCCAGTTTACCATGGAAGTCCAGTTTACCATGCGGGTCCAGTTTACCATGGGAGTCTAGTTTACCATGCGGGTCCAGTTTACCATGGGAGTCCAGTTTACCATGGGAGTCCAATTTACCATGAGAGTCCAGTTTACCATGGGAGTCCAGTTTACCATGGGAGTCCAGTTTACCATGAGAGTCCAGTCTACCATGTGAATCTAGTCTACCATGAGAGTCCAGTTTACTATGGGAGTCCATTTTACCATGGAGTCCAGTTTACTATGGGAGTCCAGTTTACCGTGGGAGTCCAGTTTACCATGGGAGTCCAGTTTACAGTGGGAGTCCAGTTTACCATGGAGTCCAGTTTACCATGGGTGTCCAGTTTACCATGGAGTCTAGTTTACCGTGGGAGTCCAGTTTACCATGGGAGTCCAGTTTACAGTGGGAGTCCAGTTTACCATGGAGTCCAGTTTACCATGGGTGTCCAGTTTACCATGGAGTCTAGTTTACCGTGGGAGTCCAGTTTACCATGGGCAGGGGTC